TAGCAATGTGCGTGCAGTAGATCGCTCAGATTACATTGGGAAAACAGGCGACCGCTGCAAATTGTGCTTTAATGTTTAGCTGGTCAACTGTATGGTATGGAAACCATATATACATGCTAGATGAACCCGTCTCATACAGCTGCCATTGCAAGGCTCAAAGACACTTTGTAGAGAGGAATTTAACACAACTGCCTCTAGGAGTCGCCAATGGAAATAAAACAGACACGCACAAAAAATGTGCGTACGCCTGCCATAAAGCTGCCGTGAAGTTGCGCACATTCCCACGTTCAGTTCATTGTTAGTAAATCCAAACGTGAGGGATTCTGAGTGTGAAACCTGGCGTACGCAAAGTTTTTGTGCGTACGCAGCGTTGATGCATGAGGCCCCAGGTGGCAGTCTTTGTACTTTCATTTCGAGGGTGCAGATTGCATACGTTTTATTAATATGTATAACTTAATTTATTTTATTAATGACTATAACTTTATATATATATATATAAAGTTATAACTCTCGGATTTTTTTTTCGGGCTTTGAAGAACGAAACGATCCTGGATCATGTCAAATCGTCAATATCCAAATCCAGCTAACTAAGTAATCCACGTACGAATAACGGACCCCAGATCTAGCAATGCCTTAAAAAGTGTCAATGTTTGTGTATTGTTGCTGATAGCATGAACTCCTGTGGATTCAATCAGCTTATATGGTTTAATATGTGATTGTGACTCGCTATGCTTGGCTAAATTCACAACCTAGTAAATTGTTGTTTTGCCCTCTTTTCATAAACTTGGCCTCAAATCAATGTTTATAATATTCTCCTTTTTGTGTGCATAAGTTACAAATCTTTAAAATAAGCTTTCTATAAGAAAATACTTCCAGAACCCGCAATGCTGAAAAATGAACTTGCACTAATGCACTGTATAGCTAAAGGACTTCTGCTGCCCATTTAGTGATTACTTTCAGCAATATTTATGGGTGTTTGACTGCTGGATGAGCGTATATCAACACACAAACCTCTCTCTTTTATTAACAGACGTTGACACTTGGCGACATCGTCTCCACACGACACTACGTGAAAGCAGAATAAAGGGAAAGCTGAGCCTCAATCCGTCCTCATCAATGGTTATGTACATGTTTTTCTGTGGTGTTCATGCTCTCCTTTGCACCGTTTCCCCAACACTGAATAAATTCCAACTTCCAAACCTCCAGATTTCTGTATATGATCTTGTATTTCTGGGTGTATGATATGCCCGGCGGTCAGTGTTATTATAAATATGCATTTGGTCTACAATAAAGATGACTTTTGCTCCAAATTCACCTTGTGCAATTTATTGTGTCAATATTTCCATCAAGCGCTCCAGAGCACTGGACCGTGTGTGTGTGTGTGTGTGTGTGTGTGTGTGTGTGTGTGTGTGTGTGTGTGTGTGTGTTTATTATTTTTAAGCCCCAAGCGTGACCTGCTGTAATATTTCCGTGAGGTCTTTCTAATTTAAGCTTGTTCCAGTGTCTGCTGGGTGACGTTCATGAGGTCTAAATCGAGCTCATGGTCTTGTGCGCGTGTGTTTCTAGGTGAAGGGCCATACTGAGGTTGCACAGTGCACCTTTTAACCTTCACACATGTAAGAATTTAGTGTTTATAGCGACAACACTGGCCTATAAATGGTTTGCACCGTTCACCAGTTCTGTCATTTAATCATCTTTCACTTTTTCCAGAACAGTTTGTCTTTCTGTTAACTCTGGTAAGTGGTCCACATTGACTTCCGTAGTATTTATTTTTCTCATTATGAATGTCAGTGTTACTGGTTTCTAACAATCTGTGAAATATCTTCTTTTGAGTTCAACGGGGAAAACTCAAAGGTTAAAAGCCACTTGAGGTAAAGCAAATAGTGTGTAAACTTTTCATTTTTGGGTGAACTATCCCTTTATCACACCCAATGCTTATTGTGATCTGCACTCACCGGCCACTTTATTAGGTACACCTTATTAGTACCAGGTCTGACCCCCTTTTTGCCTTCAGAACTGCCTTAATCCTTCGTGGCAAAGGTTCAACAAGGTACTGGAAATATTCTTCAGAGATTTTGGTCCATATTGACATGATAGCATCACACAGTTGCTGCAGATTTGTCGGCTGCACATCCATGATACCAATCTCCTGTTCCACACCCCAAAGGCGCTCTATTGGATTAAGATCTGGTGACTGTGGAGGCCATTTAGATACAGTGAACCCATTGTCATGTTCAAGAACCCAGTCTGAGATGATTTGTGCTTTATGACATGGTGCGTTATCCTGCTGAGAAGAAGATGGGTACACTGTGGTCATAAAGGGATGGACATGGTCAGCAACAGTACTCATGTAGTCTGTGGTGTTGACACCATACTTAATTGGTAACTAAAAGTGTGCTTTTCTACAAACATTTTACCTACTATAAATTACTTTCCAAAACCTTTCATTCAATATTCTTTGCTGGTGGAATGATCTTCTCAGCCTACTGCTGATCCATTCAAATGAAAACTAAAAACCCGTCTCTTCCGTGATCACCTGAACCCGTGAACTAAAACTTAAACCCCCTCATCCTACCACCACGTAATAATGAGTGTGCCTCACACAGGTGAGTGGGCTAGACAAACCACCTGTCGAAAACACTTTCATCTTTCTGTTTTAACCAACACTTTCATCAGACACATAATAAAAAATGAGATTTTTATCATTGTTACTATACTGAAATATTGTTAGACTCTGGAAATGATAAAACACTTTATTTTTGTTCTATCTTTTCCTTGATTGTGTTTATAGATTGTTATGCATGAAAGTACAATGCGCGCAAATACAGAAATGCACTGCAAAAAAAAAAAAAAACATTGTGGATTTATGAAGCGTGAGCACACTACTCGCTTTTCAAAAAATAAATATATATATATATATATATATATATATATATATATATATACATATATACATATATACATACATACATACACACACACACACACACACACACACACACACTTCTCCTTACTTGGCACTTGTGTGTATTGCCTCTAATTGTTGAATCGCCAAATGCCTCGTCGACTGTAAGTGTCTTTGGACAAAATCGTCTGCTGAATCTAATGTAAATGCATCCTTCAGAATATCTTATTTTGTGTTCAACGATAAAAATGTCAAAGTTTAGACCCACTTGTGTGAATAAATGGTGAGGAACTCTGTGTGAACTATCCCTTTAATTATATTACTTTTGACGTTTAGATAAGTTTGAATTAATAACCCTTTTTTTTAATATATATCATTGACTGAGAACATAAATGCATTGAAGCACATTTACAGCAAACAATTAGTGTCCTTTATAGTAACATACTGAGATCAAGCATCCAGCCGGCTGACTGATTATTTTTAGATATCGTTATTTGCTAAATATGCTCTCAGTGACAAACTAAATGCAATAAAAATGACAGCAGAGACAAAACGGCACTCGATCATAGTAATTATGTTTGTACAAGCTCTGCAATCCACCAGCATCATGCTGAAAGATGAGCTCATTAAAATGACACTGATAGCTGGATTTATAAAGTACATCTGAAACTATGCATCTATATTTAATATAACTCACTTCACAATAAGTGACAGTGTAGAATCTACTTTGCGCTGTTCTCTCACTAAGAACAATCATGTATTTGACTTTATTCTTTCACATGGGCTGTTTAATAGTCAAATCCAACTTTTAATATAACAAAAAAAGCACATAACAGAAGCATATATATCTATCTATATATATATAATATATATATTTATTTATTTATTTATTTATTTATATATAATATATATATATATATATATATATATATATATATATATATATATATATATATATACATATTATATATATAGATAGATATATAGATAGATATATATGCTTCTGTTATGTTCTAAATTGCAAATTCAAAATAAAATAATTTTTTTTACAGCTTAGTCCCTTTATTCATAATGGGTCTCCACAGTGGAATTAACCGCCAACTTATCCAGCATATGTTATACACAGATACCCTTCCAGCTGCAACCCATCACTGGGAATAAAATTCTGTCATTTTGAGCATTATTATTATTTTAAAAATTAAGACTATTTTGCTGGTCCCTATTGCACATGAACTAAATTTGCATTGCAACTACATGCCTATTAATCCTCATTTGAGTATTAATAGACTATCTGCTGCTGATACTGCAACTTCAACAGGCATTGAACTGACTATAAGAAACTTTGCAAGTACTTGTCAACATATACTATCCCCAACCTAACAGAATTAGCTGGCACGCAGATGCAATGTAACTTACATTCAACAAAATGTGTGAAAGAGACAATCAAATTCGAAGTGATGACAACAATTATGTTGCTGTTTTTGTGATTGAGATTTATTTACAGAGATGGCCAAACTAGGGCCAAAGCTGGCCCATGGTAACCTTTGATTTGGCCCATCATCCTATCTAAGAATGGTTTAGAGATTCATTCATTTTTTTTTCTGTGAGTGAATCAAGGCAAAGGCAGATTCTGCTTGACTAGTTTCAGCATTGAACTCCACACCAGCATTGATCTGTTATAAATATGATTGTTTTTTTTTTGTTTTTTGTTTTTCAAACAATAAAAAATAATATGAATTGGGAAATTACCCATGGCAACTTAAATGTAAAATAGTTTGTTATATTTATCTTCGGCCCACAGTTATCAGTGAGATTTGGTTTTTGGCCCTTCATACAAAAAGATTTGGGCACCACTCATGGTTATTCCACCAAATATATATTTCTTAACTGTTTTAAGTTAAAACATTAGTATTATCTAAAAATAAATATAACAATGTCTCAAAACATGAATTTTTGTATAATTTTGATAAATGATAATTTTATGCTGTAAATGACATTTTTAATTTGATAATAAATAATGTCATAAGTCATTTCTAGAACAAAACAAACAATGGTCTTACTCAAACACACAAAAAAATTGCAAATCCAAAGAAACTGAAACTTTCCAAGTGGTCATTTAATGTTTTCCTCATCGCTAAACATGCACAACAATGCACAAACCGAAATCACTTTGACTTATGTTTGCGTTTCCATTTTTTTCTGAATATGTGTGTGAATGGTTTAAACGCTCTGCTTTCTTTGTATACCACAAATGGACAAATATCCTGCTTGCATTTATCTTATTGGAAGTGAATAGTTCCCAGTGTAAACTAAAGGTTATACAACATGTCTGCACTGAATCGTTCTACGCCAGTGGTTTCGAACTCGATTCCTGGAGGGCCGCAGCTCTGCATGATTTAGCTCCAACCACCACACCTGCTTAATAGTTACTGGTAGTCTTGAACACCTTGATTATTTTGGATCAGCTCTGTTTGATTAGGGTTGGAGCAAAACTGTGCAGAGCTGCGGCCCTCCAGGAATTGAGTTTGAGACCTATGATCTGCGCATTTCTTACCATTCCAACCAAAATCACTTCGACTTGTGTTTGTGTTTCTTGTGTTTCTTCTTCTTTTCTGAGTGCGTGTGGGAATGTTTCGGCCGTTTGGCGTCTTCATTGCTGCTGTCAGATGATGAGTTCTCCCTCTTTCTCTCTTTCTTTTTCTTCTTTTCTTTCTTTGCCTTCTTTTCCTGCATGAAAGCACAGAGTCGTCATGTGCATGTACACTTCAAGTCAAAATTATTCAGCCTAAATTTTTTAAATGATGTTTAGCAGCAAGGAATTTTTGACAGTATTCCTGATAATATTTTTGGTTCTGGAGAAAGTCTTATTTGTTATTTCGGCAAGAATAAAATCAGTTTTTAATTGTTTTAAACCCATTTTAAGGTCAAAATTCGAAGCCACCTTAAGCTATATTTTTATTTTTTTTAATTTTTTTATTGTATACAGAACAAACCATCATTGCACAATGACTTGCCTAATTACCCTAACTTGCCTAATTAACCTAATTAAGCCTTTAATTGTCACTTTAAGCTGTATAGAAGTTTCTTGAAAAATATCTAGTAAAATATTATTTACTGTCATCATAGCAAAGATAAAATAAATCAGTTATTAGAGATGAGTTATTAAAACTATTATGATTAGAAATGTGTTAAAAAAATTTCTCCGTTAAACAGAAATTGGGGAGGGGGGGTTATACAGGGGGTCTAATAATTCTGACTATAAATGTAAGACAGATGAAGGTGTCTCCAACAGAGAACTATTGCAAAAGTTGGCAACAAGTCAATCCAGGGCAGGGTTACACAACAGCAGAGCAGTGAGCTTGTCATCTGGTGCAATCATTTAGGCGTCAAAGGGGTGTGTGTTGGTGTGTGTGCGTACCTTTTTACGTTTCTGGGGCTCTGATTGGGTGATCTGGGTGCTCAGCGGCTCTTCCTCTTCCTCTTCTGGAAGTAAACTGTACTGCAGTCCAGGACTAGAAAAGCAGTCCTTGGCAAAGTGACCTTACATGCAAACAGACAAGTGTGTCATTATTTATTAAACACCTATTTATTAAACATTTATTAAACTCATAACAGGTGTACAGGGATTAAGCCCTTAACGATCGCCCCCACTTTTTTTGAACGTGGACATGACCATGACATGTTCAACTTAAAGGGGAGCTATTATGCCCCATTTTACAAGATGTAAAATAAGTCTCTGAAGTGTGTGTGTGTGTGTGTGTGTGAAGTTTCAACTCAAAATACACAACAAATAATGTTTTAGAACTGCTTAAAACTGTAGGTGTTGATCCAAATTGTGCTGTTTTGGTGACTGTCGCTTTAAATTCAAATGAGACTGTGCTCTTTTTAATGAAATGTCACCTTTTAAGTACCATTTCCTTTGTGTTTTTGATAATGCAGTTGTCTGCAACAGGCTCCAGGGTCTGATGTTCATTAAGTCTAAGGCCCCGTTTACACTAATGCGTTTTAGTTTGAAAACGCATAAGTTTTGCTACAGTTACGCCATCTGTCTACACTACGCCGGAGTTCTCGAGCGCCGAAAACGGAGCGTTTTGAAAACGCTGGAGAGGCCGTTTTCATTCTGAAACGCTGCTGCTCCGTCTCAGTGTTGATGATGGAAAACGGAGACATCTGAAAACGGAGACGGGGCTGCCGACATTCGCCTCTCTGATTGGGGCTTTTCCTCAATATTAAGTAGCCTCCGTGTAAGTTCAGACTTCGCAAGTTTGATCAAGGCTGCAGTCTCTTCTTCTCAGTTTGATATGGAAAACAGACTATACAGAGGACACGCGTCAATCTTCAAAGGGAACAGTGTACTTTATAACTTCATTCACATCACCCTGGCTACGTTGTTTCACTTTCTCAACAATAAAAAGTAAACATGATATAAGGAACTGCCTATTTTTATTTTAATATTAGCAACTAAACAGACAGCAGAAATGTTGAGGCGTCGTGCTGCATATATGAGCGTCATCTTCACTGTGTGGATATTTATATCAAAACGGAGCCGATAACAACTGCCTCCTTTCAATTTCAGTGAAAATACGAAACACACCCTCTCTTTTGCTGAATATCAGTTTTAATAATTGATAATGGCCATTATAAAAGTATAACATACAATAAGTTTATGCATTATAGGAAATAAAGGCAAGCGATCAGTCAATGTACAGAATGTAGGCTACGTGGTTACATTAATCATTAACTTATCTTTGCGCTCAGCCAAAACACGTTACCTGAGAACAAGTAATAGATTCCAGTGCCCAAAGTCAGGGAATATGTCGTTAGATAAAGACAACAAGATGAATGAAATATCCCGTTTAATAAATATAGTGAGATTAGATCCAGCGGGAGATGCTTGATGAGAAGTCCGACTAGCACAGCTCTCATCTGGGTAGATGGGCTACAGCGCTTGCCAAAGAGTGTGTAAGGTCACGTGATGTGGATTTTCAGCGTTTTGGTGTGGACGGAGAGCAGTTCAGAAACGCTGGGTGAAACGCGAGTGTGGACGCGAATCGTTTTCATTCTAAAACGCCGTTTAAAACTAAAACGCACTAGTGTAAAAGGGCCTTAGTTATATTGTCGTGAGCTGGATGTTCGTACCTCTGCAGCCACACTTTTTGCATGTGGTGTTCAGGACGGCCTCCAGTGTGATCCTCTGCCCACTGTGATCTCTGAACTGCCTGCGGCGACGTTCATCCTGTCTGTGCAAATAATATTGGATTGATTTTAGCATTATACGAGTAGTATTAATTGCTGTGATATAATGAAATTTCTCATGAATCCACTTACTCAGCTATGACGTTATTGGGGTCTAAGTCCCGCCCAGTGCCTTGATTGACAGACTTCATGGAGAAGGACAGTTTGACTTTATCATCTTTCATCTAATGGTGGACGAAAGTTAAAAAAGCACGATTTTACATGATGTTTTCATCAATATAGTAGTCATCAGTTCTATTTAATTTCTGATAAAACTATCTATCATACATTTTTACTATGATTTGAACAAATATATGTATTTGTTAATGTATTTACTAACAAAACCAACTAATTGTGAACAATTCCTGTACAGCAGTTATTAATCATTGCTCATTATTTACTAATGCATTATAAAAATCCAAATTCAGGCTTGTTGACATTAGCTAATGCATGAAGTTAACATGGACTGACAATAAAAGACTTTATTTCATTTAACTAATGTTATCAAAGGTGAATAAACATTGTATTAAATATACTGTTCATTGTTTATTCATGTTAGTACAAATACATTAATCGTATTGTAAAGTGTTACCTTTTTTTAAATCACTTAAAATATAACATATCATAATTGTAAGTGCTGGATATTGCATCCAAAATAAAAGTTTTTCACAATTTAAGTGTGTACTGTGTATATTTATTATGTATATATACAGTTGAAACCAGAAGTTTACATACACTCTAAAAAAGGAACACAACCATTTAATAAAAAATGTCTGATGGTAAATCATACTAAAAGTTTACTATTTTAGGTCCCTTAGGATTACCTAAATTAATTACATTTGCTAAATACCAGAAAAATTAGAGTTTTTTTTTTTTGATAATTCTTTTATTAATTTCCAGACAGTCAAAAGTTTACACACATTTCCTTGGTATTTTCTAGCTTTGCTTTTAAACTGGATAACTTTGGTCAAATGTTTTGGGTCTCCTTCCACAAGCTTCTCACAATAGTTTGCAGGAATTTTGGCCCATTCTTCCTGACAGAATTGGTGTAACCGAGTCAAATTTGTTGGCTGTCTTGCTCACACAAGCTTGTTCAACTCTGCCCACAAATTTTCTATAGGATTGAGTGCAGGGCTTTGTGATGGCCACTCCAAAACATTCACTCTGTTGTCCTTAAAGCACATTTGAACTAATTTGGCAGTATGCTTAGGGTCATGGTCTGATTGGAAGAGCCATTTGTGGCCAAGTTTTAATTTCCTGGCTGATGTCTTGAGATGTTGCTTCAGTATTTCTACATGATGTTCTTTCTTCATGATGCCGTCTATGCTGTGAAGTGACCCAGTCCCTCCTGCAGCAAAACAGTCCCACAACATGATGCTGCCGCCCCCATACTTCACAGTTGGGATGGTGTCCTAGGCTTGTAAGCTTTCCCCTTTGTCCTCCAAATGTAACACTGGTCATTATGGCCTAACAGTTCAATCTTAGCTCCATCAGAGCACAAGACATGTCTACAATAATTAATCTTTTTCCCAGTGTGATTTAGAAAATTGTAATCTGGCTTTGTTGTTGATTCTGGCTTGTTGATTTTCCCATGTTGTCACACAAGGCAGCAGTGTGTTTGAGGTTTTCCTTAAATACTATTCTACAGTTGTGCCTCCAGTTAACTCAAATGTTGCCAATTAGCCAATCAGAAGCTTCCAAAACCTTGACATCATCATCTGAGCTTTTTCAGAGGCTGAATAATCTTGTTGTATGTAAACTTGACTTTCAAGAAGTTATAACAATTTCTCCAAAAATATATCTCATTATTTTGCTATTAAGAAACAAATGTGATACTCCTAACTTACCTAAAAGAAAACAAGTTTAGTCCCATTAACATCTGACTTTTTTTAAAAATGGTCATGTGCCTTTTCATATAGCATATGTAAACTTCAACTGGTTTCAACTATATATATATATATATATATATATATATATATATATATATATATATGTTAACATACGATTGTATGATAAATTATTTATAAATTTAAATATGTAACAAAATTGTGTAGTTTTGTTTCTATATTTGTGTGTATCACATACATAATATAAAAATAGCACCAAAATAGGAGGTTTCTTTTGTGTATTTGCATACATTGACATTAAGTGTACCTCTTTGCCAATGACTTTAATCCACACTTGCTCTCCTACGTCTACTATTTCAGCAGGATTTTCCACCCGACAGGCCGACATCTCACTCTTATGAACCAGACCTGATTGTGCAAACACAAATAAACATTAAAAATACATACTCGTAGAAACTAAACAAGTCGTACTCCAACTTCACCTTGCTTTCTGTATCCTGGAATCTTGACGAATGCGCCGTATGCAGTGACTGAAACTACCTAAAGATACAAGAAGACAATAAAAGTGTATAAACCAGTAAATATCAGTATATTTGTGTGATTTTGAGATGCTCGGATCTGACCTCTCCCTTCAGGATGCTGTACATTGGCGGAAGTCCATCCAGACCGACCGGCTCTCTCATATGCTCCTCCGCCATCACACCTGCACAGGTACACAATCAGGTTTATCATCTGTTCATAACTAGTTTTAATATCTGCTCATGCTGGAATATAAAACAAATGATACAAGTGAATCTCTGTCTAAGACGAGATGTACTGTTTTGTTTCCAACATCATAAGTAATAGGGTTGCACAATACATTGTTTCAGCATCAATATCACATTGTGATGATAATAGCTGTACACATCGCAGGATATGCAATGTTGAGTTTGTATTATAATTTATCATTTGCATGTGTTTTCGATGCCTGTGATTGTGTAATGATTTTAAAAGAATTCAGGCATAAATTGTACCACTTGTGACTTTAATAAATGATTCATTTTTTTAATTATTTTTTTTTCGGCTTAGTCCCTTTATTAATCCGGGGTCACCAAAGCGGAATGAACCACCAACATATCCAGCACATGTTCTACGTAGCGAATGCCCTTTTAGCCGCAACCCATCTCTGGGAAACCTCCATACACACTCATTACCAGGGCCAGAGTGGGACTCCTTTTCAGCCCTGGAGTTTCAAGCCTTAGACCGGCCCACGTCAGTTGACGACTGACTATATTAAAATAAGGTCATTTCCAATTCAGTTTCTAATTACTCTATCATGCCTTTTTCAAGGACACAGCTGCTTTAGAACTTCATATGTTCAACAACCCTAACAGTATTATATTTCTTAACAATAAAAAAGAAAAAAAAAAGAAATAATAATATTTACTCAGGTGAGGTTCGAACACGGGTCGGCAGCGTCGTAACGCAACATGCTGACCACTGGACCACAATGGCGTTGTTTAAGATGGAAGAAAAATAAATATTGGAGTGATATCCGCAAGGCTGCGAAACTAAACAGAGCGGAGCTGCGGTAAAATAATGATTAAAAAATTGAAGCTATGGTTAAATAAATGCCCTCGCAGCCCAAAAAAACGTACCGGCCCACTGTCTGCTGTTTATATCTGCCTAACATGATGAGAAGTAGACACGCATGTAGGAACGGTGGGCGGGGAGAAGCAGCTCATTTGCATTTAAAGTTACAGGTTACAAAAACAGCTAACCTGTAGTCAGACACCAGAATGGGCAGATTCTACATCATATAATAAATAATCTGATGGGTATTTAAGCAGAAACTTTAGAGACACATTTTGAAGACACTAAAGGCTTATTCTACATCTTGTAAAAGGAGTAAAATAGGTGCTCCTTGAAGTCAAATTTAAATGCAATTATTTGGCTGTAAAGCAATTCTTTCAATGTATCATCTAATTATTCTTGCTATGAAGATGCTTGACAATATTTTTTGTGTATGAACAATTATTACACTGAATCAAATGTCGGTGGTAAGAGATGGTAAAATGTATTTTACTCTTTTGTTTTCGTGTTTGACCCATCAGCAAATTGTTATGTGAACTCGTGATATATTCAAATAAAAAAATAACCAGATTTATTTAACTTACCTGATGTGCTGAGGTCGACAACACTTTACTGCAATTTGTGAGCAATCTACAAGCACACTCAATCCCAAACGTCCCAAATCAACTGCGTTTTAAATCCAAAAGATTCACCTAAATTAAACCCCGTCGGCTGCGTCACTTTTTATTAAACAACAGCAAAACATCACAACGCTAAATGTAAATACATCTGCACCAGCAGTAAATGCACACACTACTGTTTGGTTTTGATGAAACACGACTGCGTTGTCTTCCGGTTCACAGCTCTACAGTAACCAATAATATTGTATTGTACGAGTGCCAGCCAATCACATCGCTTCTTGTTACCGGACGTGTTTCACTCGACGAGCGTGTGTAGCTCAAAGGTGGAGGGTAGCTCGAAAAACTCATTCATTGAAAATAAGCGGATATTTTGACATACTGTTCATTTACTGTAGAAATCTGAGGCATTTACATAGCAATGATCGAACCAAAGAAGCGTGTGGCGGATATGGCCGTTGTTCCCGTAGGAGTGAAGAGGCCGCGGACGGAGCTGGTGGCCGCAGCACAATCCCAGCAGCTCTCCGCTATGGTGAGACTGAAAGAAACTCAAATATATGGAAAATACTAGCTCAAAATATTGAAAATTCTATTGTTGGGATTTTGATTCATCCCACTGAGTCGAATCATTTGAACGAGTGCTTAAGGAAGATTTCCTCCATGACTCTGTCTGCAGTTTGCATGGCGAATTTTAGCATATTTTATTAAATAAACATCAACTGAACGCATGCTCACTTGTTACAATGCTGTTATCGAATACTTAAATAAAACACAACTGTAAGAATTACAAATAGTGCCAGGGAATGCAAAAAAGAAATCATAATGCAAACATGTAAAAATGTAAGCCTGAACCACAAAACCAGTCATAAACGTAAATTTTTGTGATATTTATATGTTAGCTGAGTAAATAAGCTTTTCGTTGACGTGTAGTTTGTTAGGATATGGACAATATGTAGCAGAGAATAACTCAACTATATAAAATCTTTAATCTGAGGCTTCGAAGAAATCAAATAATTAAGAAAGTCACCTTTAAAGTATGAATTAAGTGCTTAGCAATGCATATTTCTACTTAAAATTTAGGTTTATACACAGTTACATTGGTAATATTCTAACATTTTTAGCCATAAATATATTAGATTTTTTAACCTTGTATACAATGTGTTTTTGGCTATTTTCACAAATGTTCCAGTGCATCGAAAGCACACAGTGTTTCGAAATAGCTTTTGTGAAAATAAAAAGGTTACAAGCACACTACCTGACATAAGTCTTGTCGTTGATCCCAGTTGTAAGAGCAACAAATAATAACTTGACTTCTAGTTGATCATTTGGAAAAGTGGCAGAAAGTGGATTTTCCTGATGAATCATCTGCTGAACTGCATCCCAATCATCACAAATTCTGCAGAAGACCTACTGGAACCCACATGGAGCCAAGATTCTCACAGAAATCAGTAATGTTTGGTGAAGGAAAAAAGTCATGGTTTGGGGTTACATTCAGTAATGGGGCATGCAAGAGATCTGCAGAGTGCACTGCAACATCAACAGCCTGAGGTATCAAGACATTTGTGCTGCCCATTACATTACAAACCACAGGAGAGGGCAAATTCTCCAGCAGGATAGCGCTCCTTCTCATACTTCAGCCTCCACATCAAAGCTCCTGAAAGCAAAGAAGGTCAAGGTGCTCCAGGATTGGCCAGCCCAGTCACCAGACTAGAACATTATTGAGCATGTCTGGGGTAAAATGAAGGAGAAGGCCTTACAGATGAATCCAAAGAATGTTGATGAGCTCTGGGAGTCCTGCAGGAACGCTTTCTTTGCCATTCCAGATGACTTTATTAATCAGTGATTTGAGTCATTGCAGAGATGTATGGATGCAGTCCTCCAAGCTCATGATGAAGTCAGACACAATATTCATTCTGTCCCCACTGCAGCATGACTTTATACTGGACATTATTTCTGTTCAGTGACAAGACTTTTGTATAAGCAAACTCAGAGCTTACTGTCCTAATTAAATCATTAATAATCAAGGTATGATCATATTTTATTTTGGTGAAATAAGCATAATCTAGAGGCCTTTGCCTTTCATATAAGCCACTTCTGATACCAAATGATCAACTAGAAGTCAAGTTATTATTTGCTGTTCCTAAAACACGGCTATAAGACTTTTGTCAGGTAGTGTACATGTAAATTCAGATGTGTAATTATTCAAATGTATAACAGAATAACTAATCACAATAAATTTGATTATAATTTTAATTATTTAAATAATTTAAATTATGAAAATTATAAATGAAGGAATAAGTATTTGTGGGTTTATAAGGGCAATATTTTGTTTACTTTGGATATATATTAGCGATATAAGTACAATTTCCCCAGATGACTTAACATGTATGATAGCCATTATTTTTATCTGTTAAAAATGTTAACCTCTCAACAGAGACCCAAATAGGTTTTGCAATTTCTTTATATAAATAATAACAATAATTTTAATAAGAGAGATGTGTATACAAAAAGAGAGCAGTCACTTCAGAAAGGAGAGAATTTGATGAAGTAAGACCCGCGCCATCTGCAGTCAAAGGATATTGGGTGCACAATTAGGGGGTGGGGCTTCATCATCCCCCAGTGAACACCTGCATAAACATTAATGTGTGTGTGTGTGTGTGTGTTTTCAGGGCCCGCCACGCAGCTCCAGTCTGCAGGCTCCTATAATGCTGCTCTCTGGTCATGAAGGAGAAGTTTACTGCTGCAAATTTCACCCTAATGGAGCCACTTTAGCCTCTTCAGGATACGACCGCCTCATCTGTGAGTCACGCCAATAATTACGTATGGATGTAATGCTGCCTTTACATGCACCTAGGCCTGTCGCAATAATCAATATATCAAGTTATCGTTCAACACGTTGACATGACCTCAAATATTTTTTATTGAATTATGTTTAACAGAGCAAGGGAATGTTCACAGTATTACCTATAATGTTGTTTTTTTCTGCTGGCGAAAGCCTTTTGTTTTATTTCAGCTAGAATAAAAGCAGTTAAAAAAAAACATTTTAAAGTCAATATTATTAGCTGCCTTAAACAATATGTTGTGTTTGATTGGCAACAGAACAAACCATCGTTATACAATGACTTACCTAGTTACCCTAACCTGCCTCTTTTATAAGAAAGTTTTATATTTAATTTCTCCCCTGCTGTTGCAACATGCAGATCAGCTTCTGTTTACCGCTTCACCCTTTTCATTCATTCATTTTCTTGTCGGCTTAGTCCCTTTATTAATCCGGGGTCGCCACAGCGGAATGAACCGCCAACTTATCCAGCAAGTTTTTACGCAGCGGATGCCCTTCCAGCCGCAACCCATCTCTGGGAAACATCCACACACACATTCACACACAAACACTTATACACTACGGACAATTTAGCCTACCCAGTTCACCTGTACCGCATGTCTTTGGACTGTGGGGGAAACCGGAGCACCTGGAGGAAACCCACGCGAAGGCAGGGAGAACATGCAAACTCCACACAGAAACGCCAACTGAGCCGAGGTTCGACCCAGCGACCTTCTTGCTGTGAGGCGACAGCACCACATACTGCGCCACTGCCTTGCCCCTTCACCCTTGTGTTATGTTTAATTTTAGACTTGTTGATTATGTGTTGATGTATTAATTGTCATCGCTTTGTGTTTTTCTGCTAGTGATGTGGAATGTTTATGGAGACTGTGAAAACTACGCCACGCTTAAAGGCCACAGTGGAGCCGTGATGGAGCTTCATTATAACACAGACGGCAGGTGTGTGTGTGTGTGTGTGTGTGTGTGTGTGTGCACAAGATGAGTTAAATAAAAATAAAGAAGATAAATCTTTTTGCAGTTGCTTTTGACAATAAATATCATTCCAAAGCAGCTTTGAAAAAAACATGCAAGTTATTACATTGCCGTCAAGAAAAGGTAAAGGGCACCTACAATGAAAATCATCTTTTGTAATCTGTTTGGACAGAACAGTGTAGGTATACTGTGTCCACAGTCATATTTGAGTAATATAAACACAATAAGTCTCTTATTTTAAATTTCTTGACATATAATAGGATCCAAATCCCTCACATTTTGAGGCCCACCGCAACGTGACGGAGTGCGGTTTCTCTTGTATTAACATGTCTCAGTAGTAACGCGTATAATCATATCAACAAGACAGGACGTGCCAAAGCAACCAGGATTAAAGGATCTGTTCAGCTCTCTGTGATCAGCAATCATTATCAAATGTGATCAAGAGTGATTTTCACAAGTTTAAAATGTTTGGAATTACTGCGATTTTACAGTCTTTATCACCACAGCCGCATGTCAGTACAGTTATAAAAGAAGACGCTTCAGTGCTGTCTTGTGGACGTTAAATCAGGTTTATTTTGTACATTAACATAACAGATATCCATACAGCAGTGGATCTATTCATTCATTAATTTTCTTGTCGGCTTAGTCCCTTTATTAATCCGGGGTCGCCACAGCGGAATGAACCGCCAACTTATCCAGCAAGTTTTTTACGCAGCAGATGCCCTTCCAGCTGCAAACCATCTCTGGGAAACAGCAGTGGATTATTGTGTATCATGTCACATTTGCCATGCAAAGTGTGTGTGTGTGTGTGTGTGTGTGTGTGTGTGTGTGTGTGTGTGTGAACTTTGTAATGACATTGTCTGTGACTCATCATTCTCATCGACTCATTAACTCCACAACAAATACATCAAATAATCATTGGGAAAGTTCTTACTGTAGTATTTCTCACAAACGTTACGCAAGATCTGCTTCCTTCATGTCTGTCACTGTGCTGTTTATCTCACACAGCCAAGGCGGAGATTGAGTGACACTCTGAGAGGCACGTGGGAAGGGTGGGCAGGGAGAACTAGCATTAAAGGCGCAGGCAACAAAAAACAGCTACAATGTGTTCAGAGCAGAAAAATCCAACATTCTGAAAGGTCTAATAAATAATCTGATGGGTGTTTTGGAGACACAAAAGACTTATCTTACATCTTGAAAAAGGGGTAAAATAGGTGCCCTTAGGGATTTAAGTGTAGCAATATAAACATAGTCAACCTGCACTTATGCAGCGTCCTTTCAAAAAGGTGATGTCTATATCTGTAATACATGTTCAATTAAGTGTATTTGGGTGTTAATAATGTCTAAAATGCATCGTACTAAAAGTGTGTTTGTGTTTTTTAGCCTGCTGTTCTC